TAAAGATTATTTCTATACTCAATTGAATGAAAGATCTTAGGTTCGAACTCTAGAAATGATAAACCTTTCTAGAGAAACTGTTTCCTTGTAGTAGAACCTATGCAATACGAATTAAATTTAATTGGATTGGGTTTCAGATATCAAGTACATGTTGACCCGAGACTTATTGCAAGTTGCAACAATTAGAACTAACAAAACAAAACACAAACTAAGAGAAATTAACTAGAGGAAAATTTAGGCTATTCATAACTTTTCCTTTATTATCAGAACTAAACTCACACCAGCACAAGCACATAGTCTTTGAGGCCTAACTTTAGTCATGACATTTAGGACATTTGCTGCAAATCTTGTATTTACATGGGAGGTCTGACTGTAGTAGAATCTATGCAATGCGAATTAAATTAAATCGGATTTGGTTTCAAATATCAAGTGGCTAAAGACAAAATACAGTACAGTACGATACTATATAGTTGAAAGACTACAAGACAAGAGGTACATTTTGACCCAAAGACTTGTTGCAAGTTGCAACAATAACAACTACTAACAAAACAAAGTGAATAGAATTATATAATTAGGCTATTCATAGCTTTCCCTTTATTCTCAAAACTAAACTCACACCAGCACAAGTACATAGTCTCTGAGGCCTAACTTTAGTCATGACATTTAGGACATTTGCTGCAAATCTTGTATTTACATGAGCAAATTTTACAAGCTTTGCCGGCGACTTTGCCAACAGCTTTGCCAACGGCTTTGCCGACGCCTTTGCCGACGCCGTTGATTCCTGCACCCATCTTCATTGCTGCACCAAATTAGGTTATGTGGAGTAATGTATTAGTTATAGGTTAACCAAGAAAGGAGGAAATTAAGATCTAACAACTTAAGTTTTAAATAAAATGATCACACAGATGGCAAGGTATGGGGCTGCTTTAGTTTACCGAGGACATTACCCTTGATAATTAGAGGAGGTGGAGGTCGAGAATTAGGGTAGAAGGTTAGTAGGTAGTGATGCATCTCCCTAGTCAGCAACAACAACAAACCCAGTGTAATCATGCATCTCCCTTGTCCTTACCAGTAATATCAGTGTTAGTCTTATGTTTCCTTATTTTCAAATTATTATCACCGCCTGCTGGTTCTTTCGTTTCATTGCTACTGCTTTTTCATCTTTTCCTGAGCTAAGGGTCTATTGGAAATAACCCTTTACCTTCTCAAGATAAAGGTAATATCTGCATACTGCTTGCTTGAGCCAACTTATATGATTATACTGAATTTATTATTATTGTTGTTGATCATACAATTGGCAGAAACAAGGTTTCGGATATTCAAGCCTTATCACCGTCCAAAATTAAAACTACTTTTACATGTAAGAATGCATATTTCAGACATATAATTAAATTGAAATGTACCTGCTCTAGCAATATAGTTTAAACTAACTATTATAGTGGAGTAATAGATAGAGGAAGTAAATAAACCTTGGGTTATTGTAGCAGGCGCCTTAGACATCTCCCTTGCATCAGCTTGTGAGGATATTACTATTAGCAAAATAGCCAAAGAAACGCAAAGAAAAAGGTTAGTTTTGGAAAACATTTTGATGGGCTGTTTGGAGTGAAAAGGGAAGGAATGTTTCTCCCCTATTTATAGAACTTAATAATGTCTCGTGCAACTCTTGGAACAACTTGTTCTGAACAAGGGAGAAAAATGACAAAAAGAAAGCCTTCGCAAAAGACTTATTACTTTGAAGTCACGCCCATCATGATTGACTAAATTAGTTGGATGAGTGGTTTCCCTTTTCTATATGGGAGACCGGAGTTTGATTTGCCTTACCATTTGTTTTCTTAGTCAAAGCTCATCGCACCAGGTGTGCCTAATGCGGTTTATATCTCCTGTGTGATTTGCGAGCAATTGACAGTGAGCCAATTACTCAGTGCGCACATGAAGGATAGCGGTTGCGGGTTTCCTAGAAATTTTCCAAATAACCAAAAACAAGGTCGTTACATGGCCACTTGACAAATAGATCAACTTGGGGCGAATTCTTTTAACGGGAAACAATGGGTCAAATGCAGATAGTTGGTGGCCGAGTGACTCCAACTCTTGCCCAATACCATATGTGGGACACCTTAACACCAGACACAAAACTAGGAGACAAACAACCGTAATTTTGCCAATAATATGTAAGTTACACTTATAATGTAATGATCTCGTATCACATGTTGTATTTAGGAATAATATATCTTTTATAGTACAAGTGTTTGCATGAAGATAAGTATGAAATTCACTTATGAAAATGAATGATAAAACATAAGCAGAAATGAATATATAGTTGAACATATATTTAATTAAAACTTGTAAAAAGAGTTTTTAAAGTTATGTTGAAAAATAATATTTGAAAGTTGAAGTTGTGCTTAGATATGCATTTATTTAAAAAAAATATTAAAGTTTTGTGAGTGAAAGAAAAAATTTCACCTAAAAACTATCATAAACTCCCTAAATTTCATACCAACTTCTGACGTTTCAACTAATAGGCTTGCTCTTATTGGACATTTTAATATTACTTAATTTGTTCTTATTAAACAATTAAAAGTACATACAGTACCACACATGTTAATAGACTACAAGACAAGACATGTCGACCTAGACTTTATTGCAAGTTGAAGCAGCAAGGACAAAACACAAACTAAAAATGTAACTAGTGGAAAGTGAATAGAGGCTAGTTTTTTTTAAAGGGTTTTCGCTCGATATTTAGTATCCGTATTAAAATTTGACTAAATCCGAATTGGAGCCTTTGGGAGGATTCATAGCAGATAAGATGTAGATATGCATAGATTGGAGCACACTATTGATTAATCATTCTGCCCCCGTAGGAAAGCATCTTACCCTGCCAACCATCAATCTTTTATAATAATTTTGGCAATCATTCCATCAAAGTAGCAAAAAAAAATAAAATTCCCATGAAATATAGGACAACCGAGATAATTAAAGGGGGAAGTCTTTATTCATAAAGCCTGATGTTTTCCTCATCCTATTGATTCTAGTAGCAACAGTGTTAGGAGCTGTGATGAAAAAACTTTTATCATTATTCACTTTCTAACCGGAAGTTTTTCATATCCTCTCAATTGTTTCATAATAAGCTTGATGGATTTGTTGTTTCCCTCAGTGAAAATTAAAATGTTATCTGCATATGTAAGATGATTAATAATAGTACCAGGGGTGTTCATAGTGATGGGGATGAATTTGTCATTATCATGAAGCTTGTTAAGAAGTCTGGAGAGTACTTCCGCGCTCATAATAAAGAGAGAAGGAGACAAACGATCTCCGATCCTAGTTGCGTTTGAGGTCCTGGCTGGATGTGAAAAATCCCTTCCCAGAACCATTGGTAATTATAAAATACCATACATTTGAGACCAACCTCCATATAATATCAATCAAGTTTTCAAAAAATCCAAACTTAAAAGTACATACAATACCATAATTTTAATCGACTACAAGACAAGAAATGTCGACCTATACTTTATCAGCCTTCACTCGCGTCGACCTAGACTTTGCCCCTCGACTCGACCTCCATCGCGTCGAATCTATCTACAATCAGAATCGCGATGTCAAAATATGCTAAGGGAACGAAGCCCAAGCGAAAATAATCAATTTACAACACAAATCCTGAAATTAACAAAACCCGACCCCCGGGCCCACATCGCGGAATTCGATAATTTTTACATCAATAGATTCCTTATCTCCCCACGAGTTCATACATATCAAAAGTCCCAAAATCCGACCACGAATGGCCTCTCAAATCCTCAAGTCTAGGTCTCCAATACCAACCCCTATTTTTCCCAATTTTATCCCTTGATTTCCATAAATTATAGCTCTAATCCGTGAAATAACAACATAAGAACAAGTTTTTGGTCCAAAATCCTTACCTCAATAAAGTCTCCTTGAATTCTCTCTTCAAAATTTCCCAAAACTCCAGAATTCTCGTTTAAAAATGATGAAACCCTCTTAAAATCGCGAAGGAAGAAATATAATATATTTTGGCCCAAGGATTTCGCATATGCGGCCAAAATCCCGCTTCTGTGGTACCGCATTTGCGGTCTTGAACCGCTTCTGCGGTTTTTCACTTAAGTCCCATCTTTCGCATCTGCGATGCTTAACCTACACCTGCGCCATCGCAAGTGCGGTTCTTCTACCGCTTCCGCGGTTCCTGCCACCTTCACCATCTTCCTCTTTTGCAACCAATCTTCCGCATCTGCGGTGTCGCACCTGCGGTCCCCAATCCGCAGGTGCGAAAAAAACAAAAACAATTAATTTGTAGCATTCACCAAACTCCCAATCTCTCCGTCAACCATTTGAAATCACCCAGAGCCCCCCTGAACCTCAACCAAAAATAAAAACATATCCCATAACCTTATTCAAACTCGTTCCAACCTTCAGAACGCTCAAAACAATAACAAAACACCAAAATCACATCGAATTCAAGCCTAAGATTCCAAAGTTTCTGAATTGCGCTTTTGATAAAAAAAAAAAACCAACCAAACTACGTCTGAATGACCTAAAATTTTGCACACATATCCCAAATGACACAACGGAACTACTGCAACTCTCATAATTCCATTCTGACCCCTATATCAAAATCTCACCTATCAATCGGAAATCGCCAAAATACTAACTTCGCCAATTCAAGCCTAAATCTACTCTGAACCTCCAAAACTCATTCCGATCATGTTCCTAAGTCCCAAATCGCCTCCCCCTATCCGAACCATCGAAACTCACATTCGAGCCCTCTAACACATAAGTCAACATCCGGTTGACTTTTTCAACTTAAACTCACTCAAAAGGGACTAAGTATCTCAAACCTTACCAAAACCATTCCGAATTCGATCGGACCAACCCGATACCTCATAAATCGGATAAAAAAAAGCATAAAAAGCAAAAATGGGGGGAAGCGGAGCGGTAACTCATGAGACGACTGGACGGGTCGACACAAGAATGACTTACACAATAGAAGTAAGATACATAAAAATATAAACTGATGTGGCAGGCATCCTGATCCTACCATATAATCGATATCAATTTAAATATTCACCCTTATACTTCATAAATCAGATAAAAAAAAGCATAAAAAGCAAAAATGGGGGGAAGCGGAGCGGTAACTCATGAGACGACTGGACGGGTCGACACAAGAATGACTTACACAATAGAAGTAAGATACATAAAAATATAAACTGATGTGGCAGGCATCCTGATCCTACCATATAATCGATATCAATTTAAATATTCACCCTTATTACTCCATATTAATCCATCCTTATTCCTCTTGTTGCGGCGTGGAACCCGATCCCACAGGACATTAACATTTCACCCTTATTCCTCCTCAATATATCACCCTTATTCATCCTGTTGCGGCGCTTAATCAGATCCTACCATATCAGTACCAATCATTCAATAAATACAGAAATTTCACAATTTAACTCAACTCTCCACAATAATTAAACCTCAACCAAAGAAAACGGAAAGCTAGTACATTATGAAGCTTTGCACAATTAATACTACTCAGCGAGACCAATCCAAATTATACCATAAAACACCGATAAACCAGCTTAAGCTAACAATATGAAATTATGAATCTACGGTGTAGCTAATACCTCCAACAATGGATAACAATATCTAACAAGTAGCAATTAAGCGTGAAATAACAGTAAAGCATATAGCAATTAAAGTAGGGAAGACAATAAAATAAGAACGGAAAGAAAAACAGGTAAAACAGATAAATTGGCGGCGCATAGGTACTTGTCGCCTTACCTATACGCCACTTGCATGGATTTTCACATAGCAATTAATTCAAGGGTTCCAAATCCCTCGAGTCAAAGTTAGATATGTCACTTACCTCGATCTGCAAATCGCTCACTGCTCAATTACCGTTTTTCCAGTAGTTTCCACCTCCGAACCAATCGTATCTAGTAATAACTAACTTAATAACATCAATTATCGCTAAAGAAATCCATTCCAATACATAATTATAAGTTTTCCAACATTTTCCCAAAAGTCAAAAATCGACCTCATGCTCGCTTGGTCAAAACTCGAGATTCAAACCAAAACCCATTCACTCATTCACCCCCGAGCCTGAATATATAATTAGTTTCGAAATCCGACCTCAAATCGAGGTCTAAATTCAAATTATACAAAAAAAACCCTAGTTCTACCCAAACCCCCACTGTTCACCCTGAAATCCCTAGATTTTTTGTTGAATTCTTGTAAAATGAAGTGAAAGATTGAAAGAAACGAGTTAGGAATCACTTACCTATGATTTGGGGAAGAAATAGTCTTTGGAAAATCGCTTAGAGAGTTTCTTGCTTTGAAAATTTGAAGAATGATTGAAAAATATCGTCTCAGTTCCTTTTACACAACTGCAGATGTCGCATTGGCGACCAGAACTTCACAATTGCGAAACTCGCAAATGCAAGGAAGGTATCACAAATGTGAACCTATCGCATTTCTGATTCTATCGCAAATGCGAACTAACTGTTCGCAAATTGCAAAGGACCCCCTTCCCCATATCAACTTTGCAAA